AAATTATATAGTCGCACAACATAATTTCAAGATCGTCACAAAGTGATAAACGTGATAAATCGAACTTCCATCATGCTGTGTGGAATATATTTTTAACAATTGCCGTAATTGGACATTTTTAATTTCAGTGTAACATAAAATGTGTTACATCATAATTAGAGATATTGCCAACAACGGGAATTCTAATTCTCACAATAATAATAATAATAATTATTATTATTATTATTATTATAATTAATTCCGTTCAATTGAATTCCATAATTTCTCAATCCTTGTTTTCTTTGAGGAATCATATATGTGCATATAAAGAAAAAGAACCGTAATAATAATCAATATTAATATAGAAGTTGAAAGATTCAGGGTCTGGGATTTTTTGGATTCTGTACTTTAAACTAATACTAATACCAATTAATGTAGATCATTGTTGCGTTTGGAAATCTCCTATAACTATTTTTGGCAGCATATTTATTTATATAAACAGTTTTAAAGTTCTTTTTCTTTTCTTTACTTTTTACAATTATTGTTATTATTATTTGTTATTATAAATATACACATTCTTTTAATTCTTTTAAGTTTTTTTTATTCGCTATTTATATTTTCATTTATAAAAAAATTCCATATAAACAAAAAATTACCATCATCACACAATTTATCCAATTCTTTTTTTTTTTAAAAATAATAGAATTCACATGCCACAAAAAAACCTTTTAAAATTTATCCCAATCCCAAAACAAAGATTAATTAATAATAATAATAAACAAAAAAGCTTTGTTTTTTGTTATTATGTTTCAGGTCATGGTATGTATACAAAAAAAAAAAGGGGGGAAAAGAGGAATTTTTAAAACTTTATCTACCGTGTTATTATCATCATTGTCATGATTTATTATTATTATTTACAAATTTTATTATTTGCCATTTTATTATTCAGGTTTTGGACATGCTACAAGAGTAGTTCAAATAGCATCAGATATATTATCATTATCTCGTAAACATACAGTGTACATAATTTCCAATGCTCCTCGTTTTATTTTTCAAGGTGCAATAGATAAAGGTGCATGTTATAGGCATGCACTGATAGATTCTGGAGTTCAACAACCTCGCGCATATACAGTTGATAGGCAACGAACAATTGATGATTTGATAACTTTTATAAAGAATAGACCGGAAATGATTGAAAAGGAAGCTAATTGGCTGAAAGAAGTTAAAGCTGATATTGTATTATCAGATGCGCCATTTTTACCATGGTAAAATGAAACAAAAAATTAAAAATTATTCTATACTAATTAATTAATTAACTAACTTTATTTTTGTTATTAAATTATTAAAATCATAATTATAGTGCAGCTGCATCAACAGCAGGAATACCGTCAGCGATTGTTAGCAATTTTACATTTGATGCGGTGTATAATGGGTTATGCGAAGGAGATGAATTAGATATTACTATCAAAAAACTCGTAGAACAAGTTATAGAAGATTACAAAAATTCAGGATTACTAATCAGGCTACCAGGTTATATTCCCATACCTTCATTTTCAGGCACAAAATTATATCCTGAAATAAAACCAAATAAATTATTAAATAACGGATTTTACAATCATAAGAATAATGATAATAACCATAAAAATGATGAGAAAAATCAAGTTATTGATGTGCCATTAGTAGTAAGGAAAAGCAAAACACCAAGAGATATTGTATTGAAAAACCTTGGAATACCAGAAGAAATATTTACAACACATAAAGTTTTAATGGTATCATTTGGAGGACAAAATTTAGTTGATATAGAAAAATGGGGAAATCCATTACCTGATAATTGGATTGCAATTGTCTGTGGTGGTTCATGTGATAAATTACCAGAGAATTTCTACAATTGCCCAAAAGATGCTTATATACCTGATTTAACTAATGCAGCTGATGCTGTAATGGGTAAATTAGTAAGTATACAAAATTTTTATAATGTATATGTATATCTTTATAATCTTTATATTTATTTTGCCTTTATTTATTTTTAGGGATATGGTACTTGCTCAGAATGTATTGGGCATTCAAAGCCCTTTATTTATGTTCCAAGACCTCAATTTATAGAAGAGTTAGGTTTGCTTAAATTAATGCAGTTTCAAGGCATAAGTTTAGAAATGTCTAGAGAAAGATTTGAAAATGGAGAATGGAGATCACATATATTAGAAGCCTACAATATGTCAAAAAATACAAAAAAAAGGCATAAACCAAAAATCGAAAAATTAAAACATAATGGAGGAAAAGTTGCAGCTGAAATATTAGAAAAATATTTGGACGAGAAATATAATGATGACAAAAGTAATAGCAATAGCAATAGTGTTTCTGTTTTTGCAAGTTTAAAAGAACTAAGAAACAAGAAACGAAAATCAACTTCATTAACTAGTACCAAGAATACTAATAATGATGATAATAATAAAAATATTATTATTATGTCTGTTTCATGATTTTTTTATAATATAATATAATAGATATATTTTAAATCATAACATAATATACATTAATAGAGTTAATTATATAATTAATAGAATTTGTTTAAATTTAATAGACATTAGTCTTATAATACATAAAAAGAGAATAATTAATAATTACTTTTGAGGGAATTTTTTGTATGCTAGCTAATTTTATTAATCAATCAATCAATTTTCTTAATAGATTAATTGAAATTCTAGCATACAATAATAAAAAAGAGATCATATATATATAATCCATAAAAATCTTGCCATTCAAGTTAAACTGTAAAAAAAATACTCGGAATGAAGTGCTCGATGGATACAAATTAAATAATTCTATAATAATAAATTCATGTAAATTATTATTTTTTGATATATTTGAACAACATAATTTTTGATTACATGAACCTTCATTTATAAACATTCATACAGTCTACATTGTCTATAACGGATTTTCTATAACGGATTTTCTCTATAGCGAATTAAAAGCTTGGTCCCGATTTTTTACTATTTGAAATCTCTTTCTATAACGGATATTATTTATTAAACTTTTTATTACGTATAACGGATTGTATCTGAAAATCACTTCATATGACTTTTACGCGTAATAATAAATCAACAGTGTCTATAACGGATTCACGTGATCTGGAATAAAATGCAGATCTCTCCAAATCTAAATTATAATTAATATAAAAAATTACTATTACCCGTAATCGCAAAATAAAAATAAAAAATTTTGTCTAAAAATCCAAAAAAAAAAAATAAAACAATTATTTGAAATAAATGGCATAAGGTATGATGTAATGAACTAAAAGTATTGATGAAATGGAAAAAAATGTTGATGATGATAATTTGCTGAATGAAGAAATGAAGAAAATCAGGATGAAGAAGACATCGAAGAGACATCTCCTATTTCAAGTCAAGATGTTTTATTGGCTATTGAAAAAGTAAACTTGTTTGTTTGAACAACAGTTTAAGAAATTTACAAATGAGGAATTGAAACAGTTAAAAAATGTCAAAAAGAAAATTAAAAAATAGAATTAATTCAATTCAACAAAACAATCTATATTACTGTTTTTTAATTAATTAATATTGAATAATATTTTTTATGTAATAATAAAAATTTTTTTATTCCGCATGACTTAATGTAGTATCTATAACGGACAAATTTCCTGGTCCCAATAATCCGTTATAGACAGTGTGGACTGTATATATTTAATATATCGGAATTCGATGAATCTATGGATACATGCATATAAAATTCCTTATACCAATCCCATCTCGACAAATTTTTTATTAATACAGTATAATCCTTGTTTCAACGGAATGGCTAGACATATAAGAAAATTTCATTTAAAATCCGTTGAAACGAAATTACTAATTGTGATTATAATCGTGTTTCAACGGTTTTCATAACATTAATTGTTGCTTTATTGATCATCCATCATGTTTATTTCATATGGACACTCATATACATACATAGTTCACTCTCTATGACATGTCACACGACTATAAAAATCTAATCCATACGGTAAAGTTTATTTTCCCGTAAAAAAAGTTATTTTATATATATAATAGCAGTTGACCTTGCAGAGATTGCCAATAATTGCAGAAGTTGCAAACTTGTAGCATTTGCAGCAGTTACAACGTTAAGGTTTACAGGATTTAGTACCTGCTAATTTAAAATGGAAGAAAAACATATGCTTTTTCAATCCAATTCGACCATAAACCTGATTATTATGATGGCCAATCAGACAAAGTCTTTACAATTTATAATTGGTTATAATTAATTATAAATAAATTTTAACTAATTATTAATAAGTATCCGACCACCCAAATTGTATAACATAAAATGAAAGGAGTCCTTACTAAAAAAGTAACGTTTTCTTAAATAAAACCGTTTTTACTTTACTAAGTAGACTTGTACTTGATATCAAAATCTCTAAATTACAAAAGCTTCGAAAGGTTCGGTATGATGTTAATGGAAACATTTAGCAAATAGTCCAAAAAAGCAAATTTTCAATTGGAATCTTTACATGTAATAAAGGTCAAATTTCTTCATTGTAATGTATATTATTTCATTAATAAAATGTGCTCAAAGTAACAGATTACATAATCCACAATATGGTGTTGGCATAAATTAGTTCATGAAAAGGGTTTAAAAAAGTATCCGACCACCCCATAATTCTATGATATAAAACAATAAAGTTGACAAAATGCAAATTTTAAGGCTTTAAGTTTTTGTTGTCTATACTTGATCAAATTTTCTTAAGATATTTTAAGTGGATTTACTTAATGACGTGAAGGTTTTTACTAAGCTCAAAGTTTTCATAAAAATCACGGAATTTTTTGTCTAATTTAAAATTTTCATCCTAATACTAAATTCATTAATAATGCAAACTCAACGAGACTTTAAGTTTATATGCAAATTAACTTTTAAACTTAATGCACCAGTCCCAGTTTGATTAATAAAATATTGAACTGCATAAGGCGTGACATTTCCGGTTATTAAGGGGAGTGTATATTAATATAAAATTTTTCAAATAAATGTTCGTTATACGGAATAACGAGTTTATTGTTATTATACAAATTCGTTGTAACGAAATTTTTTATTTAATATAAGATTTTGTTCGATATAACAAAATCTGTTATAACGAGGTTTGACTGTAACATTATTATTATATATTAATTATATAAGCTTAAATGCAAGGGCGACTTTTTCTACCTTTCATTGATAAATAGCCATTAAATCCCTTAACAGGAAATCCACCAAAATAAAAAACAACTGGCCCATTCCTGTTGATCCTGACGGAGTTAAATATCTATAATGAACTTCCTTTCGTCCCTATTCATTTTTTTATAATTAATTTTTCTCTCTATAACAAATATCTTAGTAAACACACTTTATAATGAAAAAAGGCACATATAGGGACGGAAGAATAGAATGAACTTTATATTTTTTCATGTTAACCTTATTTAAAAATAAATTATGATGTTAATTAATTATATTTCACAAAATACCAAGTAAAATTACAGGAAAATCGCACGTTTTTGTTTAAAATAAAAGAAAATTTGATGTAACTTCCACAAAGAATAGGTGTATAGAACAAGTAGTATATGTAGATTAGATGGAGATATATTGTTGTATTGTTTTCAATTACAATTTGTAATTGGATTTCTTTTCCGGTTCAAAAATTTTAAACCGGATCTGTATATGCAGATCTGGATTTTTTTTTGCAAATAAATTTAGTAATTTGACGAAAATATTTTAAATATTATAAATATTTGTACCAAATATAGTAATAGTTATATTTATAATAATAATTTTTCAAAAACGAACTGAAAAACTTATTTATTTAAAGTATATAATTTCGGTCCTTATTATTATATAAATATTTAGGAATTCACAGTTACACTCTCTTCAGCAAACCTTTGTGGAAAAGAAATTTTGCAATTTGCATTTGTGAAATTCAAATTAGCCAATCAGAATTTGATATTAATATCATTAGATTTTAACTTTAATTAATTATTTGTTTAAATTTCCCCTCCCAGATTTTCAAAATTTAATTATAATGCACGTGATTTAACTGTGTAACAAAGTATTCCTAAACTTTTTCATAAAACACAAAACATTTTTGGAAAAATATTTTTCTTTGCCGATAACTCTAGTGATTGAAGGCCTTTTCATTGGTGTTTACCTTATTTTGTTTGTTTAAATTTCTCCCCTCCCCCCTCCCTCTTAATTTTCAAAAAAAAAGGATAATTAAATTTGGACGGCCTTAATATCGAAGGATGTTTACGTGTGTAACAAAAAAAAACCGGAAATTTTTTGGTGCAATTTAGAAAGTGTTTTTTGTTCTTTTTTTGCCATTACATTCTATATAGAGATCATTCCTGAACTTATTACAAAGATTGGGATGCTGTTTGAAAGTCAATTATTTTAAGCTCAAAATTTATTCACAAAGACTTCAATCAATATGTGCTATTTAGTCATGTGATGATGATTATTCAACAATGTTCATATATTGTAACATCAAATTTTTTGGTGATTTGTTAAGCAAGACATAGAGTAATGAATGCTAAAAAACTCCAAAGAATTGAAATGAAATTTGGCAAATTAGTGAGAAATGATTTTGTTGATTTTTAATAATTGAATTTTTAAATGGAATAAAATTAAATTAACTTGCTGATTTTGTTTGATCCCCGAAATTCAGTACGGTGTGATCATAACGTTATGAATACTTTATACTAGCAAAAACACATTGGTTTTAGGGTTAATTATCATTCCACTGACCAGTTTACACATTAAAAATACTCGTGTTTAACATTGAGACACAATAAGACATAAGGTTTGAAAAAAGGGTCTAAAAAACCAAATCGGCTTTTAAGTTAAAAGCAATTAAAAATAAGTTTGATAATTTTTATCTATTTTCATTCAACCATTATTGAGAAACCAATAATAAAGATTTCCTTTTTTTTTTTGTTACACACAGTAAATTTGAATCATTAGATCAAAGTCCTATACATGCTTTTGATTATAAAAAGATCCCACACATAAATCAAAAATTATAAATGAGCAATTTATTTATTATTATTCATTAAGAGTAAAAACTTACACAAGAAATAGTTAACTATCACAGGAATAAATTTACAGAAAAAAAACTTAACCTTAAAAAGGAACAACTTTACAAGTTATATTATTTATATTAATATTATTTACAAAAAACAAATTTTATGAATTTATTTAACTCTGATTTTTTTAATTAGTAATTATATTATTATTTAATTTTCCAAGATTAGTCATGATTAATTTTATCTCTTCATATTCTTCGTCTTCCCATTTGTTTGCCTTGCTTGACTTTAATAACCAGACTAAAGCTAACGAGAATTATTATAATAATCTTCATCAAAAGACTCGTCGCCTAGTGGAAAAGGTAATGCGTGTATAGTAGATAGTAGTAATAATGATAGAACGAATAACATGACAATATTTCTTGTAGAATTCATCATTTCTTTTTTATTATTGGTTTTGTTTTTTAGCGTCAAATAATTTCGTAAATTTCGTAAATTTCTTATAAAAAAAAAAAAAATGAAAAAATTTTTTTTTTGATGAGGAAAAAATTATTGTATCTCTTTTATAATCGTTGATTGTTTTCCCATTAAACTTTCATTTAATTGTTACACCAAGACTTATAAAATTATTTGTTTATTTAATTATTGTTCGGTACTATCTATTTATCAATGATGTTGTAGTTATCTTGCCTTTTTTCAATAATAAATTTATTTATTTACGCCATTTGTTTAAAGGTTTCAATAACGAACTAATTCAAAATTATTTAAATATAATCACCTGCATATAATTGATATGCATTATTGGCATAGATCTACAACTACGTAAGGAATACATTAGGTTTCTCTTAAATATTAATATTAATAATTAACTATAATATATATATATATACTGTTTTCCCAAAGAATAAATAATTGTCTATACTCGTATATTATATATATACATATACTTTTTTTTTAAAGAATAAAGAATTGTAATACTTCCTCCTCGTTTTATTTTCACATTAATTAATTTGCGCAATTTTTAAAAGATTTTTTTTTTTCCTAATCAATGAAAAAAAAATATACTAAAAAATCGACAATTATAGTAATATGGTGACAGTTGCATGAAACAACAACCGCCTCTTAGGTATGATTGACATAAGTGTTAAAGATTTGTGCATGTTCCTCCAAATTACACGACATGCTTTAAAAACCTTTAAAGCATTTATCCCAATTAAAGTTACTTTTAGGTAATTTGTATTAAATAGATTTCTGACCAATCAAATGTCAAATGTCGTGTTACAAACATTTCATTTGATTTGATTTGATTTTTAAAAAGTTCAAAGGAAAAGGAATCTAAATGTAAATAAATAATAATGTCTGGAATTTTTCCTAAAGAAGCAATAAAGGTTTTTTCCCAACAATTAATTAATGGTTATTCCTTTCATCGTTTTCTTATTTATTATTAAATTGGTTTTTTAGAATACTGCTGAAACAATTGGAATATCAAATCTAAAAGACAATGTAGCAAATGCATTGGCACATGATGTAGAATATAGGATCTATGAAATAATACAGGTGGTGTGATCCACCTTATTCATACTCATACAACTTATAAACTATTTGAGGATGGCAACAATAAAAATGTTTATAATAATAATAATAATAATAATAATAATAATAATAATAATAATAATAATAATAATAATAATAATAATAGGAGGCAAGCAAATTTATGCGTCATTCCAAACGAACAAAATTAACCGGAGATGATATAAATCATGCATTAAGGATAAGAAATGTCGATGTATGTGTGCAGTGTGTGTGATTATTTGGTTTTTTTAAGGAATATTTTATTGATTTATTTTTATTTTGAAAATTATATTTACATTTATAGCCATTATATGGTTTTGGTTTAAGTGACAATTCTAAATTTCAACGAGTCACAAATAATCAAGTTGATTTATATTATATGGAAGATGAAGAAAATGATTTTGAAAGTGTTTTGTATTCAAATATGCCTAAAGTACCTGTACAAGTTACATTTACTTGTATGTGTATGCGTGATGTTGGTGTGATGGACAAAAAGACCAAAATTTAATTTATTCTTACCCTCATTTCTTTTATTTAATCTTTTCCGGTTATTGTTTTTTAGCTCATTGGCTTGCAGTTGAAGGAATTCAACCAACCATACCGCACAATCCACCACCAATTGAAGGTTGTATTTACTAATATAATAGTTATTATATTGATTAATATTCTCATATTCTCATTAACTGATCAAAAAATTTTTTTTAATAGATCGTAAATCAGAACTACTACAAAATACTACTAGTACTAATAATAACAACATAAAACAAAATGGTTTAACTTCCACAACAACCACCACAACCACCACCACAACCACATCATCATCATCTTCAAATATAGAAATTAAACCTTTAGTACAACATGTCTTATCTAAAGAATTAGAAACTTTTTATAATAAAGTTACCAATACATTGATTAATAGTCAAGATCCTACCACTGTTACTGCCTCGACTAATAGATTGAAACAATCTATTTTAAATGATCTAGAGAGTGATACTGGTTTATCACAACTTGTTCCTTATTTTGTAAAATTTATTTGTGAAAAAGTAAGTTATGCGTTGCTTGCATACATACATACACATACATACATACATACATACATACATACATTTCAATTTGACTCATTATTATCATCTTAGGTTGCAGAAGGCGTAAAAAGAAACATTAGGCTTTTAGAACCTATTTTACAAATGTCTGAATCATTAATAAACAACAACAGCCTTTATTTAGAACCTTATGTAAGTTTTTTTTTAAAAGAATTTTTTTTAATTGATTATTTTTTAAAAAAAAATTAATTTGATTTAAAAAAAAAAATTTTTTTTAAGTTACATCAATTGATGCCTGCAATATTAACGTGTATTCTAAGAAACAACTTGGGAGTACATGATAATTCATCTTCTGAGTTACAATGGCAAATACGTGAATTAGCTGCACGTATAATCGCCAAAATTTGTGATAGATATGGTGGTACTTATAGTTCTTTACAAACTAGAATAACAAAACTTTTAATTGAAGCTTTAAATGATAATGTTAACAACAACGATGATCAACATGACAATCAACATCGTTATCAACATCGTTATCATCATAATCATCATAATCATCATCGTCAACATAATAATTTGCATTCTCATTATGGTAGTATAGTAACCATTGGCGCCATGGGGCGTGAAGCTATTAGAAATATTTTAGTGCCTAATTTAAAAAAATACGAAACTGTTCTTAATAAATATTCCAATGATTCTGTTTTGGGGGGTGTTGTTACTCGTAATTACAATGCTATATTGGTAAGCGTTATTCTTTATTTTTTATTTTTAATTTTTTTTTTATAATCAATCAAATTAATTATTATACAAAACCATTTAAGGATATATTATCAAAATTAAAAGAATCTGTTGATCCAATAAAGTTACAACAAATTCAAAATACATCAACTAGTGATGTTTTACATGAACAATTGGTAAATAAAGTCGGACAATATTTTGCTAATGGTGTTATAAACCAAATCGCCGACGAACAAGTTATCATTGCAATTATTAATTCATAAAATCATGTGTTTTAATAGTAGTAAAATCCTAATATAATCCATATAAAATAAATAGTCATTTTTGTTTACTGATTAACATCTACTATCATATTACTTGATTAGGAAAAATTTATTTATAAACAAAGATCTTGTTCCAAACCTGAAAATCTTATTTGATCTTGATTATTATTCCTATTATTATTCTTATTATCATCTTACATTCACAAAACGTTGCATTGTGAATTTTAGACCAACATCGTCTTTCATAAAACATGTTTATTTTTATCTATTTGAAATCCTCAAGTTCTAAGCCACCTTCAGATCTGATATTAGATAGTTTATCATTTAAATTTCTTTGTGATATAAATTGGCCAATTGTTCACGTCATCAAAAATGAAGTGGCGCAACAACAAATACAAAGATAAGGATTATTTACTACCAGACTGGTTTCAAGATTATCGATTAAATTAGTAATAACATTCACATCAATATAATCTTTTGCTGAATAGTTTCACTTTATCTTTAGTCTCCAGAATTCTTGACCAATTCGTTAAGTTGATTATGCTTAATTCTATTACTTTGTCGTATATAACAAACGTCGCCAGATTGATAATTGCATACCCAATAAAATTAGATCACATTGTATATGGAGAAAGACTTTATTTTTTTTTTATCTTAACGATCCATGACTAATCTCCATATTTTTTCCAGATTCTTAGATGACAAAAGCCTTTTAATCTGTAAACCATGCCATAATAATAATTGCTTAGAAAAGCCAATCTTTTCTATCATAGATTCATTAATATCCTAGTTCGTGAGCTGGATTCTATTGCTGTTTTTATGCTTTTGGAATCAAATTTAGTTGTAGTGCTTCTTGTGTTCGCTTATAAGATGACACATAATAGAGTAGACAACTACCTTTTTGGTTTTATCTTCTACTAATTCCACGGTTACAACAATATATTCATACCATGATCTTTAGAGTCAAATTTGGCATCATCTTCATGTTTCATCGCCAGCAGATCCAATTTCTGTAAATGTGATTAATAACTAGGTTTGGAGATAATATCTCATGCAATGCATTAATAAATACAGTCAACTACCAAAGATGAAGCAATTAACATTTTTGCCATCTTCAACGGTAAGCTGGATTTCTGTTCAATATAGCGACTACTTGTCAGCTAGCAATGCCTTCTTAGTGCCTGTGAAATCGGATTGTTCTGTGAACTTTGAATTGGATTCGGTCAGAAACATTGTTGTTATAATCATAGCTTTCAAATATTTTAGAATTCCAAAGCACTGTTGCTAATTTTTTTTTTAAGAAGTTATGTTGATTGATTAATATGATTATGGCATGATAAATGAACTTTAATAATTGAATAGAACCTGTTGCACGAATATACTGAAAGAAAAGGTAGTCAATGATTAACAGAAATTATATACCTTTGTATCTATCTATTCTCTTGAAAGGAAACTACTTCTGATTCAAATAATTGATCCATTACATCTTTATAAAGTTTAGTAGCTTTGTTTATTGCATTTGATATACTGGTTGATGAGTGGATTTGACATCATGAATCTGTTGTTGGTCAAGTGATCTCAGGTCTAAACACTCTCGCCTTCCAAACATCAAAGTAAATACCCACTTTTTATACTCTGTCTGTTCAAAAACATGATATCGAGTTGGAAATTTTTCGATTCTGGAAAATAATAAAGAACTAAATTAGCAAATAACGCTTAATAATCTCATCAGAGAGCAAACATATATAATGCAGCGGTGTTGATAAAATAGAAAAGAGGAGAGCGCTAGGGTAATTCCAGCGGGTGTTTATGACAACCATCGACAATATAAACGGAGGCTGTATGTGCCGTAGGATATTGTGTATATCAAGATAAACATGATAAAAAATTTAATCACTTAACTGAAAACATGACACGTTCAAGCAGAGGAAAAGAATGCCAAGAATTATCCTCATTATACTATCAATAGTCATAAACATGTCAGAAATATATTCTGATTTTTCCCTCATTTTTACTCTATAGACAACACAATCTTCAACCTTCTCATAACACTCTTGACATGCTATTAAGTGTAAAGCAATGCGTATTTTCATTATTGAATCATTATATAGTTGCACGACATAATTTGATCTCAAATTTGTATTTTTTTACTGTGCCTAAAATTCACTCTCAATTATGTACATCGCTATCATATTAAAAGTGCGCTGACCATACATTATTAGCAAACTAATGTGCGATTAGTAATTTTACGTGTAATTTATAATAAGTTTTGTTTTAATTGTCGTTTTTTAGAATTACCGATTTTCAAAAGCTAACTCAAAATCAAATAAGGACAGTTTAAATTTACCATTAAATGATTTCTAAATTCATTGTTTACGAATTCGAGTTTTTGTCGAGGAAAAAAATCGCCAAGTATTGCTTTTGGTATGATTGTGTACCCGTTGTAAAAGTATATTCTCTTTGCATGTTCACACCAGTTGCAAGACATTATCACCTTCCCATTATTATCTTCGCTCCGTTCAAGCAAAGGGTAAATTCGTAACCAATTCGGATCAAATCTTCACGCGCTTTTTTATTTAATCTTTGTCTAGCTGCTACCTTTTTGGATCATTCATTGTTTCTTTCTTTATTTACTTGCGAATAACAGGTTGAGGGAATGGGGTGAATAAAATGTAATATTTAAGAAATTTGAAAAAGTTCACTCGGAAAAAAATCGCGAGAAAAAAAAAAAATTTTTATGATTTTCGTGTGCCTAAAACATTGCTTAATCTACGATTTACAGTTGTTATGAAATTCAAACTAATATAAATTTATTTACAACACAAACAACTAATTGAAAACAACTAATTGAAGAAAACGATATTTGTAAGGGATATATGTTTTGGATATACTGTATATAGAAATAAAATAAGTCATTAAATAATAAATTTAATTATCTACTATTTCTCAGCCACAACCAAATTGATTTTAAAGTATATAAAACATTGTTATAATAATTATCTTGGCGTTATTGAATCTATTATTATTATTTATTATTGCTTATCACCAGTTGCTCCAACCCTAAACACAACCCATGCCATGCCGATAGGTTCAAGTTAAGCGTTTCTAACAAATGCATGATAGTTAGGTGGTGCACAAAAGACATTTGGTGCCAGATTACCAGTGTGGATTATATCACGTAAATTATACAAATCTTTGTACCTACGACTATTTGTTCCAAGGTTATGAGTAGCAAGGATATCCATCCCTGCATCATAAACAGCCCAGCCATACTGGTTAACCCATGCTGCATATTTGGTCTTAACATCAAAATCAGATCAAATTCTTTGCGTTGGCAAGTTGCTTTTCATATTTTTATTTTCTTTCTTCAAAAAACTAATCTACAGTTATGCGAAAAAATAACTTAACTACAAACAACATTAAACCATTTTACTATTAATTTCTTAAAGGGTGACTGCATTTACTTTATATTTTTTTTCCAAAAAAACTATCTGGCGTATAATCAGAAAGACCGTTGAAAAATTTAAGTGTCACGTTATATAAAATTTTTATTTATAAAAAAAAATTTTCATCTTTACATACAGGTGGTTCCTTTAAACACAAGAAAAACAGACTTTTAGATAAATTAGATGAATAATATGGAATTTCCATCGAACTATTACAAGTTAATGAGCCTTAACTTCTTTATAATTTCTAAAACATCATTGTCATTTTTTTCAAATAATTCTGATTGGTTTTCAATTGATCTGAACATTTTCACTATCTTCCAATCCAGTGAAGCTCCTTTTCATATTAGAATTAGATGACAAAGTATTATTAAGTGATGAAACTTCATTAATATTATTTCATTATTTGCAATTGTATTTCCACCAGATTGTTCTAAAATCTTCACATGAATAGTATATACTATCCAAAATCTAGTTAAAATTTTTTTCATCTAACATTAATTTATACCTTGAGTATAATATCTGTTTTTATTACATTTGCAACATTGAATTAACCTCTCTGTATCTGTTATTTTATATCACTCTTCAAAAATTTTCATGAACATTTGTCAATATACCAAATTGATTCATGTACAAAGTGATAACTGATATTATGAACAGCTGTTTTCCCAATCCTCCCTCCATTATTTTCACTCAGCCATTCAACAAGTTCTAATTCTAATTGTTCAAATCCATTCCTTGCTGGCTAATTAAACATAGATACAAAAAATATAAACTAATAATATGTATTTATCATTAAATTAATAGAATTAATTGTTCTTTTTGGAGAGTTATTGCTCGTGTTACCAGAATTAGGATTTAACGCTAATTTGTTAGTCGAAATCAGTGTTGGAAATTCGTCGATCTTATGATCTGCAAAAAAAAATTTGTGCACATATGAACACAAGAAATTTTTATT